CTTTCTATTTTTACATTTTCTCCAAGCAGCAGATGGCTTAGGCTGCTTCCTGAGCCTGGGGAAGCGAGGAAAGTATAAATTAGACCAAGCTGGCATTGTGGTAAACATACTCTCTCTTGCTCAATCTTTGGTTCTCTTTCTTCCTTCCTTGGTTCATTGGAGTGGTAAGTTTCAAGATTTGTATTTGGGTCTACTAGAAGTCTACTTAGCCCTATAGTCTAGGCAAAGGCAGCTTTGTAAGTAATCTAATCCTATGTATTAGACTTTTGCACTGGAGTTGGGGCCAAAGCTATTGCTAAAAACAAAGTTTCTTTGTTTCTGGGCCAAGGCAGAAATTTTATATTCCTGGAATTCCTGGCATAAATCTATAACGATATCACCTCTCAAACATTCCAATTCCCAGTTTCCAACTGTAAAGTTAATGCTATAGCTACTGTGATAGCTTTCTGTATTTAACAGAACCAAATGATCTAATAGATTTTAAGGCCATTTAGTTTTAGATTGCATCATAAAAATTATTTTTGATTAGAGATAAAGATTTTGTTGGGAGTGTTTATATTTAAGAACTATTTCTTCTCTGCCTTTAAAAAATATCATTAAGTAGCAAATACCACATTTTATCAATTCTCAGATATACAATGTTTTTAGACAACATATCTGACATTGGGATCCATCTTCTAAATGATGGTATATGTAGTTTAGTTGGCAATTTTTTTCTTTCTTACAGCTCATAAACAGAGGTTATATCCAATAAATGTTGTTGACTTAGAATTGGTAAATACCTGAGATTGCCCTGAAAATTCTGGGCTGTTTTTCTTATTATACCAATCTAATGCATTTTGGAAATTTTTGCTTTCTAATGACAGTTATTATTTATATCATATGTTAAAGTTCTTTACTTTGAATTTAGAATAAGTGCATAAATTATTATAAATGTTGCAAAAAATTTTAAATACTTGATTTGATCTTTTTAAAGTAATGATAGAGAATAATTTTTCTTAAATCAATTAATTTATCTATTAAATATATTAATGTGAAAATAGTTTTAAACTGGATTTATTTGTACACAATAAAAAAATGAAAGTTGTAAAAAATGTTTATACCATTTCTAGGGTGCCAATTACAGGTGTAAAATTATCTTATTTCTCTTTGCATTAATTATTTTTTTACTATCTGAGGACATTTGTATGTCTCTTTAAAAACTTATGTTCTGTCCTCATATATTTTTAAAGACTTGCAGGCTACGTTGAAGCTTTGGCTTCCAGGCTAGGCCTGTCAATTCCTGATCTCACACCAAAGCAAGTTGACATGTGGCAAACACGTGTTAGTACACATTTGGTAAGTACTTTATATGGTTTACGATAATGAATTTAGATAGCCAGACTAAGACACCGTATAGTTCAGTCCCTTGAGAAATTTGATCTGAGTGAAGTTTTTAATGAAAATTGTTCAAGCCTTGGCAGTTTTCACAGGAAGAGTAATTTTTTATTGACTTATTTTTTGTAGGTATACTTGATTTTTAAAAAATTCTTTATATGCTTCAGTTAATCTTGAGGAGTATCGGTTATGTATTAGACATAAACTGAATAATAAACTATAGTTCTTTTTGTGGACCGTTTCATAGAGAACCAGACATTTAATGAAATTATAATTTAACATGGCATGCAATAATAGAATAATGCACTAGATATAGCAATAGCACAAGAGAAATATTTAGGAAAATATTTTGTTTGGTGGAGAGACTTCTTGGCAATTGTTAGATCTAAGCTGATTTTTTTTATTATTGATGAGGCATTTACTAGGTGAACAAGAGAATTCCAAGTATATTAACTAGCAAGTAGAAAGGCATGATAAAAACAGTGCGTGTTCAGAGAAATACAGGAAATTAGGAATTGCTGGGATATAATATATAGTAGTTATGGATAGAAATAGCAGTAGAAAACTGAGTTGGAGAAACATGAGTGGATCAGACAGGAACACATTTTTCTATCTAGGCATAAATTACGCTAAAGAACTTAAACCGCATACCTAGGTGATGGAGTGCTAGTGAATTTTAAATAGAAAGGAAACTAGATGGATTGCGATGCCACCAATTAAGTCAAGAAGAAAAGGAGGAAGAACAAGTTCGTAAGGGAAGAGAGTAAGTTCTGTCTTGGGCACATTGAATTTGAGCTGCTAGTAGAACATTCATGTGGTGACACCTAGTAGGCATTTGGATTAAAGGTGAAGAGTTAGAGAGGTCTGAATTAGAGATGATGGGTGTTATCATTCATTCATTTAACAAATATTTATTGTTTGCCTACTATATGCAAGGTACAGATCTAGGAGTTTTTATTATATTGGTTAACAAAACGATCATTTTTTCTAGTGGATCTTACTTTCTAGCATGGGGGAAAGAAACACTTAAAAAATCTGACAAATGAAATATTTAGTATATTAGAAGTTTGCCAGTGTTATAGGAATTAAAGAAAAAAAGCCAAGCAGGGTAAAAGAGGTTGGGAGTGCTAGGATAGAGACAGACTGCAGTATTAAATAGAGGGTCACTGCAGGCCTCACTGGAAAGGTTGATAATAGTTAAAACCATGGGAAAAGATTGTTGTATAGGGCAGTGGTTCTCAAAGTGTGATGCCAGACCAGGAGAATCAGTATTACCTGGGAACCTGTTAGAAATGCAAACTCTCAGCTTCCACCTTGCACCTATCTGTTGCTGTGTAAAATTACATGTATATGTATCCATATTCCAGGTAAATTGAAGTGAGACTAGCTAGCTGATATCAGCCAGAGTTGTTGAGGAATAAGGATATTCTAACATTCTAGCAATTTGGTTTAATGTGTTAGCACTACCGTTGGTATCAAAAGAAGATTATTTTCCTGGGGTCTCCTCTTCTCACGCAATTGATAATTTTGTTTTCTCTCTATATTATAAGCAGGTCCATTTCCCCTTTTGTATAACAAAAGCACCTCAATTACTAAACCAGTGTGTATGTGTGTGTGTGTATGTGTGTTTTGCTAAATAACCCTAAGGCATATGCATTCTATTCCTTATTTGTTGATTGTTTTATATTATGATCAAATCTATTCTGTAACATAACATTTGGTTATAAATAGCATGAAGTAATTGAAGTTAATCATCCACCGTCTAGTTATGACATAAGCTAACTCGGAAATTTACCTTTAATAGAAAGTATGCCAGTGCACATGTAGGTTCTAACTGACATAGGTTGTATTTTAAAACTTCATTTGTAATTCGATTGTTTGAAACTCTGAAAATATTTTCTTGAAAAACAGTATTGCAGATGTACTCAAGTTCTCTGGTTAGCCTCAGTGTAGTTAACTATAGGGCCTCGTATCATAAAATCTGATAATAATGTGTAAGTAACCATTTTTACAATGGGAAATATGTTTCAGGTCCTGTATCAGGGAGCCAGAGAAAGGTATCACACTTCTTTCCTCCCTCCCTGCCCTGTTGACTTTATGCCCCATGGAGATAACAGGGTTGGAACTCAATGACTGGCATTCCTAAAGTGAGGGGGAGGAAAGCTTTGGTTTCTGTGGATGGTCGTAGCAGGCATTCTGGGTGGGAAGAGGAAGTGGAATCTATTAGCAGTGATCATTTCATGTCTATGGGAAGTCAGGAATCTAAAGTAGAATATAGTCTCTGTGAATGTACATAAATAAGTGCAAAGGTTACAAGGTCAAAATAAGAATCTAGGTCAGGTTTTTGCCTATATTCCTATCTTTTGATGTTAAAATATATGTACAATTTTTAAAAAGTGTTTTTCTACTTGAGCATTTTTTAATATTATTTTTATAGCAATTTGATAAAAACTTCTTGTTTGCTTTGAACTTTCTATCATTTGTTCTAGAACCTTTTTGTAGCTTATTTTTATATTTAACTTACTGTGATCAAAAGAAATGCAGTCACAGTTGAATTTTATAGTACATAGTAAGTGTTCATCATAGATACTTAAGCAAGGATTCCCCTTACAGGGATAAAATAACTTTCAAAAAATGTTTTCTTTTGTTTCCTTAGGGCAAAGCTGTTGGGGTGACTATTGGCTGCATTCTAGGAATGTTTCCTTTGATTTTCTTGGGAGTAGGTGAAGAAGATGAAAAACTGGAAAAGAAAAATTAACCCTCTTAGAGAACCTATAAAAATGTAAACTAATGTACCTCAATTATTAAATATGCTGTCACAACATTTAGGAATTAAGACAGTAACAGTGTATAGATATGGGATCAAATAATTCAGCATGTATTATGGAAAACACTAACTTATTGTGGCTTGGTTTTCTTAGGACATCTTTTTAAAAAAACTGTTTATCATTAAGTGTAAATTGTTGAAATGCTTTTTCATCAGTGGCAGTCAACATTCTACCTTTTCCTTCTCTTTCTTTATATATCAAAATATCACTTAAAGTGTCAGTCATTGATGTACTGTAATGACTTGGGGTTTGCTTATTTGTTACTTAACATGTGTACTTGCATGAAAGCATTTCTGTTGTTCCCTATAGTTACAATTCAATCTTAAGATTTTTCCAAATTACTTAGGATGTCTAATATCAGTTGAAGATTTTTTTACTCTCCCTTTGGCAATGAATTTTGTACTATGTCACAGTAAACATTCACAATCATGTAATTGCACACATTTTTTTAACTCCCATATCTATTCAAATTGGATGCAAACTTTAAGTATTTTAAGTCTCTATTACTCATTTTCATTTTATGACTTTACTATTTCAAGAACCAAAGGTTCATCAGAATGAGCAATTATGTGGTCTCCCTGCTACATAAAACCATGTATGTTAAGTGTATTATTTATAATTGAGGTTTTAACTTTTAATGTATCCATTTTGAATAATTACGTGGTTCCTGAGAGGAAGAAAATGATTATTTTAGGGTATTTTTAATGGAGATTGTGGAATTGGGTTAACTTAGGGGTTTGACATGACACTTGGAAATGAAGAGGCTAAAAAAAATTTTTGTTTGAGAAATAGAAAATGAGAACTGTCAAGAAAGTTTATGGTATAAGTGGTAAAGTTGAAGTGATGTTTATAAGGTTAATGAGATATAAATTATATGGTTTGGGAAGGATTTTTTTTCCCCCAAAGTGTCTTCTCGACTGAAGTGAATGAGTCTGAGTACTTATAATCCTGATGCCATTATAGCTTGTTTAGTGAATTTTATTTCTGGATAACTTCTTTTGAGGTGAAAACTAAATATTTTATATTTTGCTTTTTGCTGTATATAGTCTAGTAGTCAAAAGTTACATGAGTTGAAATCCTCTCCTTTTTTGATCATTTTTCTTCTTTTGTGGTGTTTAAATCATATTCTAGGTTAAAGTTACTTATTTCCAGTCTTGTATATCTGATTTAAGTTAACCATGTATGAATCATAAATTTTAATTTTATGAACCCTTAAAGATTTTTAGCATGTGGCCTGTTACACATGCTAAAAAATTACTCTTACTTGTTTGTAAGAGTAATTAAACACATTATGGAGGAGAAAAACTGAAATTAAAATTACACTTTGGGTCACTGCAATCATTGGTAAATAGATGCAAAAGAAGGGAAACTTACAAGATGGCTGTCTTCACAGCTACCTCATTTGAAAGTTTTATTTGCATGTATTTACTTCGAGCTCTTATTTTTAGAGGAGCTGTTTTTTCCCACAAGGCAATTTGTCATAAATTCTCTTCTGTGCACTTCAAAGTAATTTAGTGCTATCCTTTAATTATAGATTTTTGAGAGAAATAAGTAAATAAGTCATAAACTATAGAAATAAATATATGCGATTCTTATTGTGTAAAATATGACACAGTCTTGATTGGTCAAATTAGAATCATAGAATTTGCTATCATAAACAGGATTGTGGTTTGTATCTTCCACATAATACCACACACACCAAAAAATTATTTTTATTATTTCAGATGAGAAGATTAGAGTGCTTATTAAAAGATTTTTGTAAATGTTTATGTGCTTTTGTCCCTAACTTATATATTGCCAGTCTTTTCTGTTTTCTAAAAAAGCATTTTATTGTGGTGCTTAAATTTTCTTATTAATTAAATCCCATATCCAGAGACTTGCCTGTGAGTTTAGAAAGGGCTTTTGATTATTGGTTTGTTTTGTTTTGTTTTTGTTTTTTGCTGTTGAAAATAACCCAGTCCTACAGAATCTTTCAGTTTGGCTTAACATCTGCAGAATTATTTAAGATGTCAAAATATGGAAATTCAAACCTTCATATTGAAAGATATTTTAATTTATAGACACAATAAAAATTTTCATCATTCAGGTAATTACTTCTCAAGAAATAATAAAGCCCTTTTGTCCTTAACCTAAGGTACACATTTTTTCAAGATCTTATTCTACACTAATATGATGATTTGCACAAAGTGATTTCTGAAAAGTTGTTCCTTAAAGATAATTACGTCATACAGTCGATTATTTTGTTACTTTTCACAAAGAAACTTATTTCAGATTGAAACTGGAATTCTTATTTCTCATATTAGCTATTTCTTTATTGGCAGCACTATTACTGTGGTTAAATGCAACATGAGCTATGTGCATACTGTTCGTTTGAAATTTATGTTTTTCGTGTATTATGATTTATTGACATGTTGATGCATGTAAATTGGGTGCGTTTTGTTGCCACTGTATGTTAAATGGTGACCAATGTTTTTACAAAAGAATTGAACAACAAAAAAAAATCTTTTAAGAAATTTGGAATGTGGTTTTGATTTTGAAATTTGATTTTCTTCCTAAACTTGGAAGGCCCTGGTTATTGTGTCACTAAAGGAAATAAGATTAAGAGATGCAGATTCGTTACAGGGCAGTAGCAATGTCACTGAGACAGTAAAATGGAACTCTACCATCTCACCGAAGTCCACACTTGAGATACAACATTACAGATTATGAGAGAGGAATGATCCCACATTGGGATAATTTAATCTTTAATAGGATGCCAAAAAAAGCTGTCCATAAAGAGATTGGCATAAATTACACTGATAGGTATTTATAGCAGAGCTGTCTAAACCTTCTATATAATAATGCCTCAGTTACTTTACTCCTTTTCTCTGGAAGGTGAACCTTGAAGATAATGGAAGTGTATATTTTACAACAAAAGTTTGTCTAAACCATTTTGAAGTAAATCTAATTTTAGAGTTATATTTTCTTGCCATCTTAAAAAAGTGTATTAAATGTAATCTTTTTCTTACTGGGCTAAGCATCATTTTCATGGATATAATTATTGTGCTTTAATGCAGTGCCTTTGGAATCTGGTCTTTGTAGTTTGATTTTCCTTCCATTTTTTTTTTTTGCTACTCTCACTCCTGGCAACTGCTTTGTCTCTCTAATTTGCTGCTTTTCAGCTGTATGAACTTGGAAATTAAATAGCCAGTTTTACCATAAATTATTTGGGAAATATTAATAAATTGGCCATGGAGCCTGAGTGATATGGTGACAATGATTATAAATATAACGTTAGACCCCTTTTATTAAGCACTTATTTATTCCTATGTACTGTGATATCTTACACACATTATCACATTTAATTACTTTAATAACAATGTTAAGTTGGTGCTATTATCCCTATTTGAGTAACTTGAGACATAGAGAGGTTAATTTGCCCACAATGTCACCACTAATAAATGGACTGGAATCCACCTTTGTCCAAGTGTAAAGCCTATATTCTTAACTTCGATGCAGTTGGGACATCAGTTGCATGAACTGTAACATCTATTCTCTGCTTAGGTTCCTTTTTGCTTCTATATCTATGAAATTCAGTAGAAACTTAGCATTTGTTAAAATTCAGTAGAGACTTAGCATTTGTTAATATACATTTATATAGTGCTTTACCACTAATAAAATATTCGGATGTTAGACATAAATGGGGTTTAAGAGAAGTAGTTGAGTCAAAGAAAACTGTTAGGTAGTTAAGATTATTTTCCTTTTTTTTATTGAGGTATAATTGACATACAACATTATTTTAGTTTCAGGTGTTCAAAATAATGATTTGACATTTGTATACGTTGCGAAGTGACCACTACACTAAGTCTGTTTACCATCTGTCACCATACAAAGTTACTAATATTTTTTCTTGTGATGAGAACTTTAAGATTTATTTTCTCAACAGCTTTCAAATTTACAATATGATAATATTATTGACTGTAGTCACCACACTGTACATTACATCCCTATGACTTATTTATTTAATAACTGGAAGTTTGTACCTCTTAATCCTCTTCACCCACTTTGCCTACCTCCAACCCCCTTTCTTTCTGGAAACCACCAATGGTTTCTATATCTATGAGATCTATTTTGTTTCATATATAAGTAAAATCATACGGTATTAGTCTTTCTCTGTCTAACTTATTTAACTTAGTATAATACCCTTAAGTTCCATCCATGTTGTCAAGAATGACAAGACTTTTTTTTTTTTATGGCTAAGTAATATTCCATTGTACATATATACCACATCTTTATCCATTCATCCATTGTTGAAGGTTACTTCCATATCTTGGCTATTGTAAACAATCCTGCAGTGAACATAAGGGTGAATATATCTTTTGAAATTAGTGTTTTCATTTTCTTTGGATAAATATCCAATAATGGAACGGCTGAATCATCTGACTGGTTCTATTTTTACTTTTTTAAGGAACTTCTGTGCTGTTTTCCATTGTGGCTGCACCAATTTACATTCCTATCAATTGTGCATGAGGGTTCCCTTTTCTCCACAAGACTTACTATTTCTTGTCTCTTTGATAATAGCCATTCTAACAGGTGCAAGGTGATATGTCATTGTGGTTTTGATTTGCGTTTCCCTGATGATTAGTGATGTAGAGCATCTTTTCATGTGCTTGTTGGCCATCTGCATGTATCTTTGAAAAAATGTCTATTTAGATCCTTTGCCCATATTTTAATTGGATTGTTTGCTTTTTGCTGCTATTGAGTTGTAAGAGTTCTTTATACTTTGGCTTTAACCCCTTATCAGATATATGATTTGCAGATACCTTCTCCCATATATA